CCCCAAAACCCCAAAACCCCAAAACCCCAATAATAAGATTATCTATTGAAATTGTTCGTTATAAAGATTTAGTAAATTACTCAATTTATTAAAAAATTAGATTCCATTTTTATTGCTTAATCATCTATATTTTTAAATTCATCTTCTTAGATTCTTCAAATCTTAATTTTTCTTTATTAAGCCTTATGCTAAGTTTAATTTCGTGATAATTTTTTGCACAAAATTTTTGAAATACTCTTCAAAAAATGAAATTACACTTAAAAACTGTATTTTCTTTAATCTAGGTACAAGATCGAAAATCATCGCATAAATCTTGCTAAAATTAAACATTTCTCCTTCTCTATATTTTATGAGCCTTCCTAGGCTTTTATGGAGCATATTATTGTTAATTTTTAGCTTTCTAAAACAGAAAACTTTATTTCTTCTAAATTTATACACAAAAATAACTTCAAATAAAGATTGCGAATTCATTTTGATCCACAAATCCAACCCAAACACCCTTGCGACAATTCATGCAACTACAGAAACTCTTCTTCATTATAAACTCGATACTTCTTGAATCTGTGGGCTAGATTCTTCAAGGTAAGCTTGGGTGGGTCAATAGTTATCTTGGTCGGAGTCTTCTGGGTACGTACAAGTTGGATTGCCTGGGAAGGTGCCTCGGAAGGTGGTTGGGAAGGTGGTTGGGAAGGTGGTTTGCTAGAAGAGTCACAATAATAGATAATGAGAGAGTTTTGAGAGGAAAGTTCAAGTATGAGGTAAGGGTTTAGTGGAGAGAAGTTAAAAGGAAGCAAAGCAAGGAATACAAGAAAATTAGTTTATCTGTCTCACTTGTAGATGTGAGCATTTTGTAGATTAGAAATTAGATTTAGATGATTGGACTTGGCATTCTCTGAAAATGCTATTACTCACAATTAGTAATTTAAAAATAGTCAAGCTCGATAAATTATTTGCAATATTTTTATGAAAGTGAAAAGAGAATTTAATTTACATAATGAATTTTAACTATTTCCACTCAAAATATCCTCTCAGGTGGTCATGCATAATGATAATCTGAAGGACTTACCAATACTTTGAATTATATTCAGGATCTTTGTATAGGAGATAACTAACTTTAGCTTCTAATGATTGAATCCTGAATAAAATATTGAGACAGTCAGTCTGCTCATCAAACTCCTTTAAGATCTCTTTGGTTTGGCTATTTGATTGCCACAATTCCTGTTGGGTCAGAAATATCATGCTTCATAAAATGATTTGTTTTGGTTCTCTGTATGGTTGATTCAACTTCAAAGTGCAGTCTTTTGCTTTCTTCGGTCATTTTGTTAAACAAGCTATTACTGCCAAACTTTTTTATTTGAGAAGAAACAAGGTGCTCTTCCTCTTTACTGTTTTCTATATTTTTCTTCTGTTCGTCAGAAATCACAACATTGTTTTCTTTTTCATACTGTGGAGGATTAGAGTTCTGCACCATTTTCTTAAGAGCTTGGAGCTCCTTCTGGGTCTCCACAAGCATGCTAGTGTTCTTCTTAATTTCGTTGACTAGTGATTTCTTAGAGAAATATGAGTAAACTAGTCCAAAAAGGAAAGAGAGCGAAACTTTGCCGACTTCAAAAATTCCTCCAAGTGTTCCGGTCAGCTCAAGAAAAGTGAACGCCTGCCTTGAATATCGAACTGTTTCGTCACTTAGCTTTATTAACATACGATATCCGAAGTATGGGTAACCATCTAATTCGTCCACAAGTCTAGTAAAAACTTGGTGCTTTTCTCTATTAGCAACCTTGTTAAACTTAATTTGTGTTGGCTCAAAGAATGGAGAGAATATGGAATCATCTAAAGTTACCTCCTGCCTCTCGATAAAGATACCTCCATACTTATACATCTTTGGGTGTAATGGAATATCGAACAAATTTTCAGTGTATTCTTTTATTGGATCATCCGAATCGCTCAGATCTACGTACTTTGATTTCACAGAGATCATCACTTTTAAAGATACTATTGCCTGATCTAATATTTCCCTATTTTCTCACAAATAATTGCCCTTTGTAACTCAAATTGAATTCATTATTGCTATGGTTTTAAATTTATTAACTCCACTTTGATCTCCAGATAGCTCTTTGTTATCAAGAGTAAATCATTCTTCCATAAAATTATCTCCAACAACAACATCTTTAATTGAGTCAGAGCATTTAGTATACTTGAGTTCTTCAAGATGATATTCTCCAGTCGAGTTTACTTCAATGTAGTCCACATAATGGTCTATAACCCAAAGGATGTCTTCTTGAGGTGCAAGAAAACTTGTAACATCATTCACATATGTAATTTTAAATTCTATTCCGTCAAAATCAGTAATATTAGTTGGACTCGGATCTTCATTGAGGTTGGTCTTCTTAATGTTCTGGTTGAATTTCCATTCATTGCGTCCAATCAATTTATTTAAACAAGATACCTCCGTATATTGCCAACATGACAGCCAAGCCAATTACAAAAATTCCGTTGATCAAACTGATGTACCTGACTTTGGGCACTGACTTGAATGTTATAGGGGTTCTATAGCCTCAAGGTTAGTAGTAAACTTACTTCATCTCTCAACAACCCCAGCTAACTTAATTCGAGCTTTGTTCAGCATGATTCTTAATTAAATAAATATATAATTATATATCCCAATTTTATATTCCTGCTCTGGGGTTTTGGGGTTTTGGGGTTTTGGGGTTTTGGGGTTTTGGGG